CCGGTGAATAATGTCGCTAAAATCATCAAAATACCGAACAAAGAAGGAACGAAGTCGTGGACCTGCATAGACGATTTTCTGTCTTAGGTTGTAGTATTCATTACGGACTTCAAATACGAAATTTAAAAATCATAGAAATACAGAATGTTCTTATAACTATAAGAAGATGTGGACCATTACGAGCTTTAAAGACCAACTTTGAGACAATTCCGGTCAATAATGTCTCTAAAATCATAAAATTACGAATATTAGAAGATTCCGATATATGGGGGCTATACGAAGATGTGGACCTGCATATGTAATTTTTTGTCCCCATTTTGTTTTTAGTACCCATTAAAATTTTCAAACACGAAACAATTGAAACAACTCTGGTAAATTATGTTGCTAAATTCAGCAATATACCAAATATTGGGAGGTACCGATATTTGGGGGCTATACGAAAAGGTGGATCGACATGACCTGGCCCATTTACGAAATTAACTGACAAAATACACATGTGTGCAAAATTTTAGCCTTCTATTTCAATTCGTTCGAAAGACAGCGTGATTACTACAAACAGACAGTAAGACACCGCTACAACGACTTAGAAATTTACGATGATATACTTTTTTGGGTCTAAAATGAGTATTTCTAGGAGTTACAAATGGAATGACCAAGTTCATATACCCTCCACAGTATGGTGGAGGCTATAAAAACTCTGATACATATGGGTTATACACCATCAAATATATCTTATTATACCAAGTAGATTAATATATTTTCTTCATGGGGCTGAGCTGATTATCTGATTTTGGAGAAGAAATCTCTGTTGATAAAAAGTCAGTCAACTATCACTTTCATAGTTTATGTTTATATTTACCAAAAGCTTTGCAAACAAGCTTACTACATGTCCGCCGACTTTATGATACCCTACACCACTTTGCTAATTTAGTAGAGCTGCGCAAAACAATTAAAAGTTTTTATGGGAGTATTCAATCATACACGCTATGATTATAATTATAATTTAAGGTTCAAAGGACTAAATATGTCGAAGCATTTGTATCTTTTAAATTCGGACTTGTATTGCCCATTTGGTGCACAATTAATTTGAAATCGGATAAAGATATATATGGGAGCTATATCCAAATCGGAACCGATCTCGATGGAATTTGACAAAGATATTTCTGAGCTGTATTTGATATATTTCCCTGAATATCGTTGTTACGGAGTGCATATTACGTGAGTGCTGTGGGTAACAAATATAACAAATCGGATGAACAATATATATGGGAGGTATACCTATATCTGAACCGATCTTCACCAAATTTGACATACTAGCTTCTAGACTCAATTCGGTCGTAAGTGCCAAATTCCATCCCATTTAGACAAATATTAGACGTTTGGTGCATAATAAAATGTAAATCGGACGAATTTATATATAAGAGCTATATCCAACTCTAAACCGATCTCGATAAAATTTGGCAAAGACATTTCTGGGCTATATTTGAAATATTTCCCCAAATATTGTTTTTGCGGATTGCATATTACCGCTGCGGAGGACAAAAATAACAAATCGGATGAACAATATATATGGAAGCTATAGCTATATCTGAACCGATTTCGATCAAATTTGGCATACTTATTTTTAGGCCTAATTTGGGTGTATATGCAAAATTCCATACTATTCGGGCTGATATTACACGTTTGGTGCACAATAAAAGGCAAATCGGACGAAGATATATATGGGAGCTATATCTAAATTTTGACCGACTATCTCCAATTTCAATAGGGTTCGTCCTTGGGCCAAGCAAATGATCTATGCAAATTTTCATCTGGATCGGGCAAAAATACATGGACAGTCGGACGGACATGCATAAATCGACTCAGAATGTGATTCTATGCAGATTATTATAAGATCATATAGATCTATCTCGTTTCCTTTTGCCTGTTACAAACAAATGCACAAAGACATAATACCCTGACCACCTTGTGGTGTAGGGTATAAAAATAGATAAAAAAAGGGAGAAAACAGAGATTATCAAAATTACTGATCAGTTTTAATGGAAGGACTGGGAAAGCCATTAACAAATAACTACTCACAGAGCCAATAAATAAGTACAAAAAGACAGTTGTGCCATATTCGGTATTTTGACAATTAAAGCCAAAATTTTGTGACGGATTTATCGGTGTCTTGAGATTGAACGGGCTCTAATTCCTGTGACAGAACATTGTATATGTAGGTCATATAACTCTAATATAACGGTACCATATTTTTGAAAGAAGAGTTTAAGTTTTGGTTTAGATATTTACAATAGATACCAACCACTCACTGAAGCAGGCAATTGTCTAAATAGGTCCACGTTTTCCTTTAACGCCAATATAGCGGTACCTCACGAATTTGGCGTTCTAATGACATTAGCCACATTTGGAACTACATTGTATTAAAGTTGTTATTTAGAATTTGTAATGGGGTTTATCTACTGTGGCTGAGAATAGTACTTCTGTGGCAAAACATTGTCTACGTCTTCCTATAGCCTCAATGTAGCGGTATTTCCGTTAATTTTGTATTCTTTCAACGATTTTTTTTTAAATCTACAAAAAATAGAAACACCTGTAGCAGATGATTATTTTGGGCTCACGTCTGGGTATAGCCCCCATATAAGAATGAAATGTTGAAATATTGATAACATTATCTTATTTTCTCTTGTTTGCATGGTTGAGGGTTTGAATTGGCCAAATGTGGGAAATAGCATTAAATTTTAGAATATGTTTGGATTAGTTCGAATTGCTCACCTTTGGCATGAATTATGACCTTCAAACGGCCAATGAAACCTTCACACGCTGCCCGAATGTTACTCTGCGGTATTTTGGTCATTCCCGGCGAGGCGCTAACTTGAGGTTATCGACACTTTAATATTTTTTAGTGCCAACCATGCTTTCCAAAATATTTCAGACACAATAGTCAAACCGATTGATATCAGGAGATTTTGGTGTCCATTGTGCGCTGCAAATGAAGCGAGGAACCTCATTTTGTAACCATTCTTGGATGGCGCGTGCTGAGTGCGATGGTGCTGAGTCCTGTTGGAATGTCAATTTTTGCGTACCCAAGGATTTAATACACCCTCCAGAATATATTCGCTATAATATTTGGCATTTATTCTGATGTCACGGCCGATTAATCACCCTGGCCGGCGCTTGAGTTCTGGTGGCCCACCGAAGGTTCCCATTTTCAGCTGACCTCTTTGGCAAGATTTGGCAAAATTCGATAGTTCACCACTTTCGGCCAAGCGAAGCAACTCTTTAGCTCTTTTGAGTCTATTTTCTTTTTGTTGCGGTGTAATTTCTTGCACTTTTTGGAATTGCAATGGTTTTACCCCCGAACAATATTTGCCAGCTCACAAGCCATTTTTCGGCCACTGCGACGCGGGTTTCGATCAAGTCGCTTCTTTACTTTTCGAACCATTTTTTCTGATGTTGCTCTTTTCTTCCGTCCACTTCTTGACGTCGGGCTACGCTACCAGTATCACGGTAACGAGCGATGGTACGAGACACAAAAGATTTATTCATATTTATATGCTGGAGTGCTCAAACGATAGACATTTGTGGTTTTTCAGCCAAATATAAAGAAATCACACTTTCACGCTTGAGTTCGATTACGAATAACTTTTTTTCAGGAAAATTCTCACCAAAATGCTTTTGTACGCTTGTAAACAATATAATGAGCTGTCACTGGAATAATTTTAACAGCTGTCGGACGAGTGCCTCAAAAATGACAGCAGTCGGAAATTGGTTGCAGTTTTTTTTCATTTCACCTTTTCATCATTCCAATAGCAATAGGTTTCACTGTAAATTTTTATGTGTTATTTTTTCCCCGACCATATTCATCTAGGTCATGACATTAAGCCATTGCCCGTCAGGTGGGTGTTAGATCATCCCGCATTTTATGAAGTTGGTAAATAAAAAGACAACAATCATCAGTGACAACAAACTCATTATGACAGAGCAATGCTGCTAAGTGTAAAATTCAAAACCTGACATTTAAAAATAAAACGAAAAACATTTTGTAATTTATTCGATTTACATTACAACACTTGAACTGGAAGTTCTACTAATTGCAATGGCAGTGGGTTGCGTTGCGTTGCGTTGCTCTTCAGCGTACAAGGATATTTGTTTACGACGGCAATGAGTGTATCTCCGTTTGGGATAATGGGTGGGATTTTAATGACAAAGACTTCCAAATATCACAAAAGTTGTAGGTGGTCCTGGAAATATACTTTAAAGTACTTTTTTAATTATTCCAACTAGTGTTACACCTGTCCAGTTATAATTATTTTAATTTTCTTTCTTTCGGATTGATGGCTTTGGATTAATGTAAAGTTATTTCTAACTAAAATAAAGTTTGCAGAATAATATTTTTATCCAATTTTTAATATTTCCGAATCATTTGTTCCTACCCCACCAAGTATTTCCTTTATTTTTTAGCATTTCTAGCATCCCACCCTAATACATTAATGTGCATTTTTTTAATATTCAAGTGCGAGTATACGCTCGCTCGCTCGCTTATATTTATTTTTGCATTAACACGGCTGGTTGATTATATTAAATAGCATTTAAACATTTTAAACAAACTCTCTTAATTATTGAGTGCAATTGACATGAAACATTATTTTTTGTAATTAAAATTAAAAAAAGAACGAGTTGCGTAGATACGCAGGTTTTTGAAGTGTGCTCAACAAATGAGGACATATGGTAATGAAAAGCTTAAACATTGAATTTTTAATTTAAAAACCAACATAAAACCCCAAGGAACGAACATTTGTTAAACTAGTGCATAATTCCGTCAACTTTTTCTGGCCCATTTCCACTAGGTCCATTCAAAATCACTCTAGCTTCCGAACGAAATCAACTAGGCTGATAACATTTTGTTGAGATACCTTATAGGGTTGTAAAATTTTTGGTATTGACAATAGACCATACAATTCACTAAATCTTTCTTAATTTATTTCCATTTTTATTTGCAGATTGTATTAAGCTGGATGCTGGATGCATATATGCTGGCAAGATGCTAAAGAAACACTGGAGACTATTGTGCTTTATGTTTTGTTGTAAATGCAATCATTTCTATATATTATTAAAGTCAAACAAATAAAGTGAGCATTATTCCAATTAAAACATCCAATTTGCAAGTAGTTTTATTTAACGCCTAAAAGTATGCTTCATAATATGAAATTCTTAGGTTAGCGAGTGAATTCATACATGGTTGGCAACACTGGAAATTACATGTTTTCAGCGCCATCTATTGAAACACATGATTGAAATATGGCATTCATTTTTCTAAATTTGATTTTTTACTCAAAAATCGGAGGCCAATAAAAATATATATATTTTTTAAATTAAATTTTACCAGTTTGCTTAACAACATAGTTGGTTGTCACTTCTTTGTTAATAGATTTTCCCTCAGCAATGTTCGACTAATATTGAATTATTAATGTAAAATAAAAAAGTTTTAAAATCTTAAACCATTTAATAAAAGTTCATGAAACCATTTTACCACGTTCTCATTAGCTGCTCAAATAACGATATGGTTTTCTCTCAGATTCAGTATTAAGAAATAAAATAATACGTCTTCCAATAATTGGCAATTTTTATTTCGATAGCAAAATTAACAACCTATTTTTTAAATAATTAGCATTGAATTTGATTCTGAACTTTTGAATTTTTTCTTAATTTCTTTCATTTGAATTATTAAAAAGACGAACTATTTTTGCAGAAATGTGGCTCCAGATTTTGCAAATTTTTGGACGAAACAAAATTGATTTTTCTCATTTCAATCATGTCGTCCAATAGATGGCTCTATAAACAGGTCTTTGCCAATGTTGCCAACCACTTGTTAAATTACGATTTGAAAGCATAACTTAAGGCGTAAATTAAAAAATCACTCCAATTTTTTTTTCTCAGCAATGTATTTTTTACACTCAGACATATGGCTAGAGAGGGCCAAAACGTGCCTCATCGAAATAACGGTTTTAGACCCTAGGTTTCTTTGGATCAAATCCGTTTCAGGACATGTGGAGTCTATCTAGCGATGTCCGTCCGTCTGTTTAGCGAACTGGGTACATCGTTATATTATTATCAAACATAGAACGTGTTCGGAGATGCGCAGCATCGGTCCACTCCTTCTGCTACCTCTCCCACAAATTGTTGAAATTTTCAAAAAAAAAAAAAAAAAAAAAAAAAACACAATATTTTACTGCACAGAAAAAAGGATTGACCGATTTTCCTCTATCTTTGCTATCCCTAAAATTTGTATCACATCTCAATATTTCTATCAGCACAAGATCTATTAGAAAGATGATAGAGATCGGATCATTGCTTTTGGTAACTCTCCCACAAAGATTCAAAGTTTTGAATAACCAAAACGATTATAAAATCCGAAATAAGCATCTAATCCTTTTTATATTTCACACTTCTCATTATATCAACTAACACAAAATCTGCTCTGAAGATGGGATATATCGGTCCACTCCTTCTGATAGCTACACCAAAAAAGGTCGAGAGTTAAAAAAAAACTTCAACGCCCATACAGACATTTCACACATACAAACATTTTTGCTAACACAAGATCTCTTGTGAAGATGATATATATCTGCGAACCCCTTCTGGTACCTCACCCACAAAGGGATTCTTTACAACTTGCAATTTCTCCTAACATGAAACCTGAAATGAATATGGAATTTATGATTTCGCATAGAATATAAATGTTCGATCTTCTTGTAATTTTGCCCATGCCAATGTTTTTATCTTTCTTAGATGATGTGTGAAAATTGAAATTGAAATTGAAAATTGAATGCGATCCACTATATCTGGTACCTCAGGCACATATCAGCATTATATAAAAATTATGTCATATAAAGTATAGGAAATAGTCGATATAGTCCAAACCTGGCTCGTCGCAATATTTAGATCACATTTATTGACAATATTGGCCAATTCCTTCGGAACCTACTCCATAGAGGGTCAATTTCAATAATCATAACAGAAGTCAAAAAATATATAGATAATCGAACATTTGCTGAGGCTATATATCTGTCGAAAAACCCGTCTGATATTATTTTACTTTTTTTTGCAGAAATGTGCCTTGAGATTTTACAAAATTTTGAATAAAATTAATTTGATTTGTCCCATTTCAATCATGTCGTCCAATAGATGGCTCTATAAACAAGTCTTTACCAGTGCTACCAATCATTTGTGAAATTACGATTTTAGAGCATACCTTAAGGCGTAAATAAAAAGTCACTCCAATTGATATTTCTCAACAACGTAATTTTATTAAATTACAATATTAAGTCGGATATAATTTATTTAATTTTTACAATGAACATGGAATTTATTTCATATTTTAAATAAAAATAAAAAAATGTGTGCATGGTTTATTTATTCCCAGTTGCAATTTCTGCAGCAGGCCGTTGTTAGGCGGTAGGTTTCTTCCCGTTAATATTACATCTGTGTGAAGTATTTCTAACCTGAAAAAAAGAAGGAAATAAATTAAAATCAAGATGACTTTATTACGAAATGAACTTGTATATAATTAGATTTCAGAGGAAGTGATCGCTTCATCATAAACTCATCAAAAGCTAAAGCATTCCATCCATCAAATTGTCCATCACTCAATTCTTTTGTTCTCCTCACATAATGGGATGCAGTAACGGTATTGCCTATTCAAAATTCTGACACTGCTGTCCTTTTTTTGCAAAAACAAAAAATATCAATAACAAGAGTAATCCTCTCATAAATCATACTCACAAACATTGACTAAAGTCTCCTAAGAGTAACATATTTTCTACTTTAGTCTATAAAACCTTTTGTTGGGCTTGCAAACATTTAAAGTCTATAATTTTATGTTTGGTCATACCAATACACACACTGAGTCTCAAATCCTCATTTCCATAGCATTTTGTTTTACCAGTTAAGCCTAAAATAACAATAAACACTTGAAAAGCCATTTATTCAATGAAATCATTGGGAGAGCAGAGAGGAAAAGTGGCAATAGGAAAGAGCCTACATTCTAACTGGTCCCCGTTATTGTTGTTGTTTGTATTGTAGTCATTCATTCGTCCAAAACAAAAGTCACATAAAGCAAACTAATGCAAATTTCTCACTTGGGAATTATAAATATTTATGAATCTATTTAAGAGTCGAACATGGACCAGGAAACTGCTACTTCACTCCTTTCCTCCATGGAAGTGTTTATTGGTGTGTTTATATGTGTGTGTGTGACCCATACTCATCTTAATTTATGCTGCTTTCCAAATATTGTTATTGAATTCTAAAGTCAAATATTTCGACAGACAAAATTCGCTCTCTCTCTCTCTCTTTCTCTCTCCATCTCTCACATGAATAGTTATGCTAATGGGAAATTATGATGCTTTTATAAACATTCGACTAACGAAAAATGGGTTCAGGTCAGAGGGAAAATTTGTATATTTTTGAATTGTTATGAAAGGCAATGTAGAGAAGGAGAAGAAGTAGAAAAAGAAAAAGAAGACATAAGGGAACATATGATAAAGTGCTTCTGGCTGTGGCAAATAATACTGTAATCGTTATAAACGTATTATTTTTGCATATTTTTCTGTTTGAATGTGGTTGTGGTTGTTGTTGTTACTGTTTTTGTTGTTCTTGCCATCTAGTATTCGCATATTATTTTCCATAGTCTTCTCAAGAAGTCTAACAAAACAAATGGATACCATGGCCATTGTGTGTAAATACAACACTGTGGCATATCAGTCACAGGCGACAGTATTTGCAACGATTAGAAGGGAAATATTTTTTAATAGGATAGTTGCGGACGAGCTCGGAACCATTTCGTACCAGCAAAGGGTTTCGAAGCAACTTTTAAAGATCTTATCTTAATTAATTAAAATAGTAAAGTAATTAATAACTGACTGACTTAACGATTCCTCAACGCCCAGGCGAAGTGGCTAAATCTTGAAACCTTGGGTGAGGGTCACTCTTGGTCCGAAGGGGTCAGATAAGGCTGGGTGTTTGGAAATTCATACTAGAACGGTACGAAACATTTTAAAAGGTACTAAATATGGTACCATTTGTGCTTAAGGAAGAAGTAAAGCTAGAACTCATAAATGTGAAATTAAGGACAGCGAGGAAGTACACGATATATATACCAAAGGGTTGTTGGAAATTCGAAATTTAAATTTAGAAAATGTTACTAAACTTCTAAAATGGTACCTTTTGGTATTATATGAACCAAACTCGAAATTTGGTATGAAAATCAAGATTGGAAAGTAAGTTATTACAGGGTGATATGAAAAAATTGCAAACAAATTCAGACTGTTGTCATTTATAAGCCACTCGTCCGACAACTGTTAAAATTATTCCACGGATAGCTCATTATATGGTTTACAAACGTACAAAAGCATATTGGTGAGAATTTTTCAGAAAAAAAGTTATTCGTGATGGAACTCAAACGGGATATTGTGATTTCTTTATATTTGGCTGGAAAACCTTGAGTGGCTTTCGTTACATAACTCCAGCATTTAAATGTGAATAAATCTTTTGTATCTCGTACCACCGCTCGTTACCGCGATACTGGTAGCGTAGCCCGAGGTCAAGGAAGTGGACGGAAGAACCAGCAACATCAGCAGCAACGGTTCGAAAAGTAAAGTAGCGACTTGATCGAAAACCGCGTCGCAGTGGTCGAAAAATGTCTCGTGAACATTATATGGTTCGAAAAGTAAAGTAGCGACTTGATCGAAAACCGCGTCGCAGTGGTCGAAAAATGTCTCGTGAACATATCGCAATATTCCATTCGCCAAATATTGAAAAATGAGCTCGGGGTAAAGCCATTGAAATTGCAAAAAGTGCAAGAACTTACAACGCAGCAGAAAAAAAGTAGACACAAAAGAGCTAAAGAGTTGCTTCGCTTGGCCGAAAGTGGTGAACTGCCGAATTTGGTTTTCTTCGATGAAAAAACATTCGTTGTCCTGCAGTTTGTAAACAAACAAAATAATCGTGTCTACTTGCCAAAGAGGTCAGCTGAAAATGTCCACCTTCGGTTGGCCACCAGAAATCAAGCACTGACCATGATGATGCTGTGGGCCGCCATAACAGCCGATGGTCGCTCTCCGCTCGTATTAATCGACCGTGGCCTCAGAATATTATCGTGAAAATATTCTGGAGGGTGTATCAAAGCCTTGGGCACGCAAACATTTTGGTCGCAGATATTGGACGTTCCAACAGGACTCAGCACCATCGCACTCAGCACGCGCCATCTAAGAATGGTTACAAAATGAGGTTCCTCGCCTAATTTCTAGCGCACAATGGCCACAAAAATCTCCGGATACCAATCCGTTGGACTATTGTGTCTGGAGTATTTTGGAAAGCAAGGTTCGCACTAAAAAATACCAAAGTGTCGATCACCTAAAATACCGCACAGCAACATTCGGGCCGTCACACGCTGCCCGAATTGAAGCCGTATGGCCGTTTGAAGGCCATAATTCGTGCCAAAGTTGGCCAATTCGGCCAAATCTAAACTTATTCTAAAATTTGATTGATTTCCGATATTTTTTATTTTCATTCAATAAAATAAAAAAAATGTAAAAATTTTGCGTTTGACTTTGTTGCAGTTTTTTTAATTCGCCCTGTATACCATCTCTAGTCATATGGCATCCAACTCTCTTCAAATTCCAAACATCCAAATATTTTTGCTAACGCAGTATCTGTTGTGAAGATGATTATATATATCTGCGAACCACTTCTGGTACCTAACCCACAAAGAGTCACAATTTTCAATACTTTTATCTGTCATAACTTGCGAAACAAATCAGCGATTCTTTACAACTTACTATATCAGCCAGAAATCTGATAGAAATATGTGATTTATCGAAATTTATGATTCGCATAATATTGGATATAAATTTTCAATTTCCTTAGAATTTCGCACATTCCAATATTTTTATCTGTATTGAATGAAGTATGAAAATGGAATACTTTGGTCCGCAATATCTGTTACCTCACGCAAATTTCCATATTTTCCAAAAAATTTGTAAGAAAGTAGTCGATATAGTCCAAATCTAGGACGTTTTAATATTCATATCAGTCTTAGGTCAGACACGAATTGGTCAATATTGGCCAACTGCTTCGGAACCTACCCCATAAAGGGTCAACAGTTCGAATAATCATAACTCAAGGCTAGGGGTATATATCTGTCGGCAAAACCGACTGATACTATTTTACTTGTTGTATTTAATGGTGTTATAATCTTTCCATCAGATACTGTAAATTTCAACACGAGTTTGTGTTGAGAGCATTGTTTCCATATTTTATTTTTCGTTTGGGAAATTGTAATACTAAACGCCCTTGCCTCAGTCTCGTATAAGTGTGTAGCCTCACACTCCATGCGACGTGCAAGTCCCACACTCAGCTCAAGCTATGTGCATGGTAGGAGTGGTGATAAAATTTCATTATTTGAATTTATGCAAAAGTATTTCTTTATAAATCATATAATTTTGAAGTTATTTGTCAGGAAAAGTAATAACACTCTCCTTCAATTCTCGCATCCATGGGAGGAGCCACAAGACAAACAAATTTACTTCCAAATCTACATTTGTGTTTGCATTGTTTTATTGCCACATAAGACCTCGAGAGCTGGATGATATGCACAAACACATAGACGCACACACACACACACGCACACTACCAACAACCAATCCATGGTGTAAAATCAACAAAAACTTTTGTTTCAACTACCATTTTAACCGACGAACCAATTCATCACTTGACACTGAAGTAGCAGCACGTCCTGTCCTGACCTGACCCTTTCATCTCCTCCTTCGTAATACGTTTTCTCACGCAACCGGCAAAACCGGAGCAAACCAAGTGTTGATGTTATAATAAATTGTTGTTATTAAACTGGCAGGAGCGATGCCAATGGCCTTAAGCTACACACACACACAGAGACACATCCCTGCTGTTTGAAGTGAAGAAGGTGTAAGAGAGCGGAACCTATCTGCAAAAGTTATTACAAAAGTGAATGAATGAATGATTTGTGCATTCAATGATTTTTGTGTCGATGTGTGTGTGCGAGCTTTAGTTTGCTTACGAGTTTGTGTGTGTGTTGGCTTAAGACTTAAACCAAATCGTAACTTTTTCAATATTTACTTTACTTAATGTTGCATATTTATGTGGATTTATGGCTTGAGATGCGAGGGGCTTATAGGAAATTTAGGAATTTAAATTTTAGATGACCTTCAGAAAAAATTCTTTGGAAGACTTTGAGAATAAGGTCCGATAAAATATATTTCGATTTACTGTTATTTTCTTGAGATTTTCGAAAGCTTATTACTCCGAAGTTATTCTAAAATTGGATATCCTCAAAATATCTTATATTAAAGAAGAATTTGTATTAAATTATATTCTATTTGTGGGATACCTCCAGAAGCTGTTCTATCTGTAAGAGACTTATAGAAGGTCTTTAATCTATAGAATTACGTCAAAAGGTATTTTTTGG